TTCAATATTGTTAGTAATTAGGGAAAGGCAAATTAAAACCACCTTAAGATTTCTTCTTACCCCAGTCAGACTGGTTAAGATCAAGAGAACAAATGATGCCAAATGCTGGAGCAGATGTGGAGAAAAGGAAATACTCATTCACTACTGGTGGAACAAACTCACCCAACCCCTATGGAAAGCAATGTGGAGAACACTTAAAAAACTAAAATTGAACCTGCCATATGAGCCGGTTATACCATTCCTAGGCATAGACTCAAAGGACTCATCCTATTGCAGAGATACTTGTACAACCATGTTTGTTGCTGCTCTTTTCACAATAGCTAAGAGAGGGAAGCAACCTAAGTGCTCTTCAACTGACGAGTGTTTATCAAAAATATGATATATTTACACAATGGAGTTCTATTCACCAGTAAAAAAAAGATGAAACCCTGCAACCTGAAAGTTGCAGATAAATGGATGGATCGAGAAGCTGTTATACTAAGTGAAGTAACATAGACTCAAAAGACATATGTTCTCCCTCATTGGTCAGTCCTAGCACCAAAACCTTATAAGTGAGTGCATATCCTGATGTAACTGCAGGAACCAAGAAAGTAGAAGGAAACCAGGGAGGTAAAGGGAAAGAAGGAACCTCAAGAGAAAAGAATAGTAAGAGACAGGCATTCCTAAGGGAGAAACGTATAAATAAAAAAGGGAGGGTAGTTAAAGGGAAGGGGGAGGAGGACTATACAAGGAACTATGGGAAAGAAGGCGCTCAAAAGAGGTGGGACCACAGCATGCAAAAATTATCAAGGTAGAAATGGGGAAAATGGTGACACTTTAAATGGGAAAGGCAGGGAGGGAGAATAAGACAGGGAGAGAGAGCAGAGACATAAGTAGTGTCTAGCTAGTATAAAACACCAGAGTGAATTGTGTTAGTTAAAAAACCTACTGAAAAAATTACACATACAATATCCCTACATGAGTCTGTGAGTATAGCTGAAGACTACATAACAAGAAACAGTGGCAGACAGGAGAAACCTTCCTTTGAGTAATATTGGCCAGGGCAATCCAAGAGATTCCCAAAATTACACAGGCTATTGCCACAGTCTTTGATTGCCTCCCAGAACTTGATGGTAAGACCCTACTGCTGAAGATACTTTGGACACAGAATTTGGAGCAATGGAGCTGGAAGCCATTGTCCCTGAAGGCTAGTTCTCATAGCTTTGGAAAGCACTACACAAGCTGGTAATGGATAATGTCAATTGATGGTCCAACCCCAGCTTCAAGGCCTAAAACCCACATCAGTGACCACCACAGCAAACAACATTGGTGCAGTAGTATCACTTTTATCTTGGGGGTAATCAACAGCTACCTAATTGGACTTAAAGTCCACTCAATGGGAGGAAACGCACCTGTGGTAGTGTAAACCTAGCCAAATACACATAGCTGGAGAGGTCATAGATCTTAGAGAAAATCCAAAGTTCTCATATTCCTAGACAAATGTAATTTCTTACTATGTGCAAAATATGAATCCTTAAATTTACAGACAAGTATCCCAGTCACTACCCATCAAAATAGATTCTTTTTCAACAGACAGAGACTATTACAGAATTACACCACTGGTCACACACAGAGATTCTCAGTAAATTGCCCAAGCTTAAGTGGTACATTTAGGAAGCAACCTCTACACCTAAGACTCAGGGAACATAGAACAAGAGATGACGAGAACACTAATGCATCTTTCAATTCTCATCAATGAAGCTCTCACATGCAAGAGGGCCAGGAATACAAAAGGCCACAAATGGACAAAATGCAGAGAATAAGAGTCAGCAGAGTGTGGGTCCTTAGAAAGGACTCATACTGAGGTCCACCCACCCAGGGCTCAGGGACCATTTTGGAAGAGGGGGCGGAAAGATTGTTAGAGCCAGGGAGGAGGTGCGTGCCCATACGGAAAGAGAATCCTACAGGCTTCCAGGACCCTTCTCATATGAACCTAAAGCAATGGTGTTGGCATGCACAAGACCCATGCAAAATTAGGCAGACAAAAACCCAGCACAGAACTGTGGAAATGAACAGCAAGCCCCAATCTTAGTCAAAGAATTATTGGCAGCTGATTACTGCTGGGTTAGGAAAAGCAGATTTCTTGAAGAGACTCTAGATAGGCTGACTAAACCCTGGTGGATGAACTTGCACTGAGGGACATCTAGGGACACTAACTTTACATAATAGGACTTAAAGAAATGACAAAATATATGAACTCCAATGGAGGGGATATGGGAAGGAGTCAGGGGAAGGGGGAAGAGGGTATAAAGATGATTTTATGTATGAAATACACAAAAATTCAATAATTATTTTAAGAGAGAGAGAACACCAGCATTCATCTTACTCTGCTTCCTGACTGTACACACAACGTGACCAATGCTTCATACTTCTGTCACTACACCTTTCCTGCCATGAGTGACTATACCTTCAAACCATGAGCCAAATTAAAATACTTCCTTAAGTTGTTTTGTTAGGGATTCTGTCACAATGGCAGAGAATTAGTGTTGGGATGGGGAGTTGTTGCTGTGACTACTTGCTCATGTGGTTTGTAGGCCTCTGGAACTGGTATGCAGGGGGAATGTGGAAGAGTCTGGACCTAGAGACACCCCAGAATACTATAAGCATTACTTTCTGAGACAGAATGTCTCAATGGCAAGTGTGGAAGATTGCTGATAGAAAAGACTGTGCACATGACGTTTCAGAGGGGTGTAAAGACTTTATAGGGAATTACAATAGGGGTCATTCACGTTACATTGGACAAAAATACTCTATCTGATATCTGCCCATGTCCTGATAATTTAAGTAAGGCTGAATTCAAAAGTAATGGAGGTAGATGAAGCCTGGTGGAGGAAATTTTATGACAGTATAACATCCAGGCTGTGTCATGGTCACTATTTACTATTCTGATACCCATAGCGAGATAGCTGAAAGATATGAGGAAAATTGTACGCATGTTTAAAGTTGCAGACAAGGCAGATGTCTGAAAGTAGCTGCAATTTTTAAACACTTATTATAGAGAAATGTATGGAGCCAGAGAAATGGCTCAGCAGTTGGGAGCACTGGCTGCTCTTGCAGAGGACCCGGGTTCAATTCCCTGTACCCACATGGTGGCTAACAACCCATCAGCAATAACTACAGTTCTGGGGGAATCCAACGCCTTCTGACCTCTGAGGGCACTGCATGACACAGGTGCACTTGCATGCAGGCAATACATTCATACACATAAAATAAAAATAATAAAAAATATTTTTTTTTAAAAAAAGAGAGAGAAATGTAGTCCTCTGCACTGGGACAAGAATGGTACCCTGAGGGCAAAATCACACCCACGCAAGGCTCCTACTTGGGAAATGCAAATTCATTTGAAAGGAGAGAACCTGAACTGACAATGCTGCTGAAGGGATTTCCTGCTCAAAAACCACCACTTAAGAGAAACATTTTCACTGGTTCAGCGACCAAGATGAATAGAAGCCACTATAGCTGTGGTAAAAGGGAGTCCATACTACAACACAGGCTAGCAGCAGAATTCAGCAGCATGGTGGTTTTGTATGCATGCAAAAGGGAAGTTAACAGGCTCATGAAAGATTACGTCAGTTTTCCCCAATACTACTGAGTCCAGGCATGTGTGACAGGATTGGATACCCTGCTGTAGCGCTATGAAGGAGAAGCCTAATTTGCATTGAAGACCCAGGATGTTAGAAATGCCAGGACCATGGGATGTCCTCCAAGGAACACTGAATGCATGCAATAGATCTGGCCCCTGAGAGGCCAATGTGCTGCAGGTAGTAGAGCTGAAAGGCTAGAGCTACATAAAGTCCATGGGCCCAGGTGATGTGATCACAAGTCACAGCTGTTGGACATGGAGTTGTGGAGTTTGGTGTCTGTCCTGCTGGGTTTCTGTCTGACTTTGATACATTTCCTTGCCCTCATTCCTTCCTTTTAGAATGGGAATGTTTACTTTGTGTAACTGTATATTGGAAGAATATTACTTGTTTCTTTACTTTACTAGGGCTCACATTAAAAAACTGCCTTAAGTGTCAGAAGAGATTTGAAGCTTTTGAACTGTGTTAAAATTGTTAACAAGACTATGAGAACTTTTGAAGTTGGAATGAATGTATTATGTATTGAGATGGTCATGAACCTATGGGGAACCAAGGGTACACTGTTATGATTAAAGTGGTGTGTTTGAATGTCAAACTGACACTGTGTAGATTTGTAATAGTGAATCTACTTGACTGGATTTAGAATCAACTAGGAGACAACACCTCTGGGTTTATTTGTGAGGGCACTTCAAGAGAGATTTACTGAGGGATGCTGCATCTTGAATGTGAATCCAACACTAAATAGAAAGCAGAAAGCATGCTGAACACCAGTATTTATAGTATTTATTGCTCTGCTTCCTTATTGCAGATGCAATGTGAACAGCTGCCTCACACTCTTACCACCATGACCTCCACCGTGATGGATTGTAGTCCCTCAAACCATGAGCGAAAATAAACCCTCCATTTCTTAAGTTGCTTTTTGTCAGGTATCTATTTGCAGTGATATAAGAAGCAACTAATACAGCATCTATTTTGTTAAAAAAATAGAAAATAACAGGTTCTCACAATCTTGATGCTTCATAGTCCTCTTGCACCCCTAAAACATGCAACAGGGGTTCATTTTGATTTATCTAGAATTTGTATAGTAAATAATAAATTCCACTTTAAGTTATTTTAATCATTAACTTGATAAGAACTGCTATTTAAAAATAAACTATGCTAAAGTTATCGCTTATCCTAAAAGTGTCTTAGAAGTACCTCAACTACAGTAGTCATATAATACATCTTTTTGAAAATTACTAACATGAACTTACCATTGTTTTATTAAAGAACATAAATATGAAATTAAATATTAATTTTTAGTTATTTCAATTTAATATTGAAAATACTGCTTATATATGAAGATCACATAAAATTAAAGGCCTAAATAACTTAAAATACCTTTTCCAACAATTACTACTGAATCTTCTGATAAGGTATTTGCAGATGTGAAGTCAAAACTGGAAATCTGCTGTAAATTTGATGACCTACTTGTAAATCCTAAAAGAAAAGAGAAAAGAAAGAAAGAAAGAAAGAGAAAAGAGAACTTTAAAATACTCATTACATAACATTTTAAGATTTTATAATGTGGCCTTTTAAAATTCAAATTTTATTTCATAAAAAAAGTGTCAATTAATAAGCCAAGTGTGGCAGTGCACGCCTTTGGTCCCAGCAGGGGATCTCTGTGTATTCAAGGCCAGCCTGACTTACATAGCAAATTTTAGGCCAGCCAGGGCTACACAGTGAGACTACTTAAAAAAAAAGAAAAAAAAAAAAATATATAAAGCTCAAAATCAAAACTGGACAAAGCCATAGTCACTATGCAAACTCATGGCGATTGAACAGCACACTCTAAACAATGAGTAGATCAAAGGAGAAATTAAGGAAGAAAAGAATTCCTGGAATTCAATGAAAAGAACATACAACACAACACAACCTCTGGGACATTTTAAAAGCAGTCCTAAAAGGGAAGTTAACAGCCCTAGGTGCCTACATAGAAGGAGCCCAAATAAATGACCTAACACTGCAACTCGAGAAGCTGGAAAGGCAAGAACAAATGAAACCCAAACCTAGCAGAAGAGAAGAAATAACAAAATCAAAAAAGAAAAAAAAAAAAAAATCTTAGTAATTTTCTTCTTTTTTGTGGTCTTTTTGAGACACAGTCTCCCTGTAGCCCCAACTGGCCTGGAACTCGCTATGTAAACCAGGCTGGCCTCGAACTCACAGAGCTCTGCCTGCCTCTGCCTTCCAAGTGCTAGGACTGCAGGCATGCACCACCAAGCCCAGCTCAATTTTCTTTTATAAAAAGAACAACATCAACATAAATATTGCTACAACAAAGAATGGATACTAAATTAAGTTTTAGAGGCTGGGCGTGGTGGCATATGCCTTCAATCCCAGCATTCGGGAGGCAGAGGCAGGTGGATCTTTGGATCTTTGTGAGTTTGAGGCTAGCCTGGTCTACATAGGGGCTGCAAAGTGAGCTTGAGGCTAGCCTAGAATAAAAAAAAAAAAAAAAAAAAAAAAAAAAAAAAAAAAAAAAAAGAAATTACATTTTAGAAATTTTTTTTAAAAGTCAAGACAAAGTTTCTAATCACGTTCTTTTACTCATATTGGGTTACTTCCACATACACACAAAATATACATGTTCTAACATTTTTGACTGCCTATGTATCAAAGATTTAAGATGATCTGAAATAACAAAGAGCTTCTCCCCCCCTTTATTTCCTTTTTGTGTTTTTTGAGGTAGGGTCTTACTATGTAGCCTAGGGTAGCTTCAAACATACAACCACTCTCCCTCAACCTCCTGAATGTTGGGCTTATAGGCATATCTTAACTCAAAGGTTGATCTTATCAGGACCACTGTTGCCCCCCACACAAAAAACACAGCTCATTGTGTCCTGGCACTCACAATGTACTTCAGGCTGGCCTTAAACTCAAGAGGATCCTCCTGCTTCAAGTTTCCAAATGCTGGGACTATAAGAAGGAGCTATTGTGCCAGCTAAAGAAATTTTTTTTAAAATTCAGCCATCACTTAAGGATCACTTAAGTGGAAATAGCATTCACCACATGTTCACTATTATATTTTTAAAATGTGAACTGTTAACAATGGCTAACAGGAGCCAGGCATGGTGGTACATGCCTTTAATCCCAGCACTTGAAGGCAGAGTCCAGTGGATCCAGCCTAGTTTACATAGTGAGTTCCAGGTCAGCTGAGGCTACACAGAGACCCTGTCTCAAAAAGCAAAACAATGATTAACAGGGAAGCTCCTTCCCAGGTTCTACCATAAGGAAATTATATTCCTGTTTTGACATCTTTACTCCATAGTTACCACCTAAACAGACAATTTACTTACATGATTGTTTTCAGTATAATTGAGTGGTGGTGGTGAAATGTCTTCTAAAAAGATGTTTGCATGTACCTGTGCATATTCTTGGGGTTAAGGCTAGAAGGGATTCCTACTGGTAACTAATGGACAGTACTTTGCATTGGCTTCTTAGGCAAGACCATAAACCAATACATAACCTGTGAGTTCTGTCCTGAAAAATTATTTAAGAAACAACCTATCAGTAAAAGGTAAACTGAAAACCTTAAAACTGAGAATTCTCAGTTAACTTTTCTTTATTGGTGTGATTAAAGAAGTTTCTGACTTAGCAATATAGCAAACCTTAAAATGAACTTCTCATAAAAATTACCGACCTTTCGTATTCTTATGTCTTGGGTGGTCCTTATTTTGTATTTTTAAAGCACTAGGTGAAATGTCAAGTGACCTATCATCTTCAAAATCACCACATCCAAACCCATAGTTCATACGTTGACCAATTACGCTTACATTGGATATTGTAATCCCTATAAAATAAAATACATATTTATTTGAGTAATTTAGGTAATAGTTTATAATAGGTATATATCTCTCATCTGTATCTTGCTTTCTATCCTTCTAAAAAGACCAATAATATATTAGAAATTGGAATATAATAGTAATTTTAAAGTTTTAACCTATTTTAATTATGTAACACTTTTAGTTGTGATTAAAATACTGATAAATTATATGAAATTAGTTTTTAAATAAGCTCTAAAACTACTGTGAAATTTTAAAAAAATGTAATGCTTGAAATGGTGAACCTAATATGTGTGTTAAAACTGATGGAGTAACATACAGCTGCAATTCCAATATTCAGGAACCGGATGTGGGAGGATCAATAGTTTGCGGCCAGCCTAGACTACATAGTTCAAGGGCAGTTTGGACTACAATAAGCTAAGTACTTGATAGATTAAATTAATTAACTTAATAGCACTTAATTAATACAAAAAATAAGTTTAAATTTAGAACGTTACCAGTGGCTTAGCGAGGTGTCTATTCTTCATTCCTTTCGTTCTCCTGTTCCCATGCAACAGGTGTATACTGTTCTAACTAGTGAGGTAGTACATTTCCAAACATTAAGAACTCATCTAGAATCATACTTAATAGGCTTTTTAAAAAAAATTTTATGTGTGTATTGCCTGCATGTAGGTAAGTGCATCCATGTCATGCAATGTCCACGGAGGACAGACAGGCTGTCGGATCCCCTGGAACTGGAGTTATGGACAGTTGTTAGCTGCCATGTGGGTGCTGGGATTCGAACCCCAGTCTTCTGTAAGAACAGCCAGTGTTCTTAACCACTGAGCCATTTCTCCAGCCCCACTAATAGGCTTTAAGTCACTACTCTGCCACTTAACTGCTAAGAGATCCTGGGCAAGACATTTAATTCATATAAAGTACGGATAAAAGTATAAACTTTTCTAAAAATAATGAAGAGGGCTGGAGAGATGGCTCAGTGGTTAAGAGCACTAGCTGCTCTTGCAGAAGACCTGGGTTTGATTCCCAGCACGCACAAGGCAGCTACTAATGATCCTTAACTCCAGTTCCAAGGGAATCCGATGCCCTCTTCTAACCTCCACAGCATTGCACGACATGGGTGCGCTCACACACATGCACACAATACACTCATATACATAAAATAAAAATAATAAATAAAATATATTAAAAAAAATAATAATAAAGTATTTTTTAGATGTGGGGGGCTGCAGAGATGGCTTAGCAACTAAGAGCACTGGCTGCTCTCGCAGCCTAAATGGTGACTAACAACCTTCCATAACTTCAGTTCCAGGGGATCTGACTCCCTCTTCTGACCTCCCATGGCATTACACGACAACCGTCACTTACATACATGCAGGCAAGACACTCGTACACATAAATAAATAAAAATAAGGTTTTTTTAGCCAGGTATGGCGGCACAGGCCTTTAAATCCCAGCACTTGGGAGGCAGAGGCAGGTGGATCTCTGTGAGTTCAAGGACAGCCTGGTCTACATAGTGAGTTCCAGGATAGCTGGGGCCTCAGGGAGACGCTGTCTTAAAAAAAAAAAAAAAAAGTATGAACTCTTCTAGAACTGTCACCTGAGTCAAATGAAGGAAACAGAGCCAGGCATGGTAGTGTATGCTTATAAAATCCTAGCACTTAGAAGACTAAGGCAGGAGGAGCACTGTGAATTTGAAGTCAGTATGGGCTACATAGTGAGTTCAAGGTCAGCCTGGACTATAGAGTTGAGATCTTGTCTCAAAGTCCTCCCCTGGACCCCACCCTAAGAAAAACAGAAAGAAAATACATGTAAAGGACTTAATACATTGCCTGGCCTAGTATATTGCAAATAGTTAAATATTATTTTATCGCTAATAAATAAAATACAAAACTGTTGTACTGCTATTTTAACAAGTAACAAAGAATTCAGTCTTCATTTGAATGTTTAAATTGTCCATACTATATTAATACTGTGTAGCAATTAAGCTACAAAATGTTGACTAAATGAAAATTCCTACTCAATATATTTGAGTCACTGCTCATTTTTATATATAGTTACAAGGTAAACCAGCAAGTAATAATATTCATTTTTAATAATTCCATAATGAAAACAAAATTGTTGGCAAAGGTGCTGGCTTTGGAAGTTGGGATAGGAAGAACTATATATGAAGGTAAAAAGTAATATGTAAATTCATTTAAAAAAGTTTTAAGAACTATTTCACATGAGTGCTTGCTTAGCACACACAGGCCCCAGGTTCGATCCCAAGCACCACATAAAACTGGGATGTTAACACATGCTACTAATGACAGCACTTGGGAAGTAGAGGCAGGAAGATCATGACAAGGTCATCCTCAGCTACATAATAAGTCAAGGCCATCTAGACTACATGAGACAATAACATACTTAGTTTATGTGTATATAAATAATATTTAACTAGTATCAGCTACTAGTAACTAGATGAATATTATTTTTTAATTTGTCATCTGTGATACCCAGTGTTCTCAAACTACATTGCATATTAGAATCAATAGTGAGTTCTCAAAATTCTAACAATTGGGTCTAATTCATACCAATTAAATCAAAATTTCTGGGTGGAAGAGCCTAACAGAAAGAAATCAGGAAAATCAAATGACTGAGTCAAGTAAACATTTTTCTTCCATAACTAATACCATATTTACTCTTAGAATGACTTCTGTTTTATTTTGGGCTTTGTTGTTTTGTTTTCCTTTTGTCTTTTTGAGACAGGGTCTCCCTGTAGTCCCAGCTGGCCTGGAACTTGCTATGTAGACCAGGCTGGCCTCAATCTCACTGAGATCCACCTGCCTCTGGCTCCCAAATGCAGGGATTAAAGGCATGCACCACCACACCCACCTTGTTTTGTTTTTTGATACAGGGTTTCCTGGTAGCTCCAGCTGGCCTGGAACTCTTATGTGTAGACCAAGCTGGCCTAGGTCTCAGAGAGACCTGCCTGCCTCAACTGCTGGGATTAAGGGCATATATCACCATGCCCAGCTAGAATGGCTTATTGATGAGTTATGATTAGTCATAATTGGTAAGCACAAAAGTATCTGATTCTGAGATACATTTGCTTTTATTTTTATATTGTTTAACAATCATATTCTTTATAAATAATATTTGTAAAACACATATAAAATACCTGCACCATGACTCTGTTCAGCAGTATGAGAGTTTTTATTTTTTGCAGAAGAAAGTCTTGTTGAAAAAGGTTTTGATCCAAATGTTGGAAATATGTCTGACCTACAATGAAACAAAGTAATTTCAATAGACATTCAAGATTTTGAGCTGTTCAACACTCATATCACATAGTGTATATTATTTATTACCATATTAGAATGCTAAATAAGTATGAAAACAAACAAGTGTGAAAAATTACGGCTAAACATATCACTGTATTCTGTGTTTATATATGTGTGGTTGTGCATGCATGCATGTGGGTGGCATGTGGGCACACATGTGGAGACAACGGGTTGATAGCATGTATCTTCATCAGTTGATCTCCTCCTTATATATTGAGGCAGGGTCTCTACCTTGAACCCAGACCTCACTGATCTACATAGTGAGTTCCAGAATAGCTGGGGCTACACGGAAACTCTGTCTCAAAAAGACCAAAAAAAAGAATAGAACACCAAAATTCAATTTAATTCTTTAATTGCTGAAATAAAATACTACCACTCATTTGATTAGGCAATCTATACATATGTCAATCTATACATTTGTGAGAGGTTCCAGTTCATTAAAGGGAAAATAATTTTAATTTTTAAATATTTACTTTTGATAGCTATATATAAACAAGGATTCAGGTTAAAATCAAAAGGACTGACAACATCAAATTTTAGCAAGAAGACAGTCATTACACTACTGATGGGAGTACAAATTCTATCACCATTTTGAAAAACTATTTAGCAATTAAGTTAAATATACATCTATCTACCTATGCCACGACAATTCTACTACTGAGTTTTGTCCCAAGAAAAGGGAGAATTAATTCCTTCAAATACTACAAAGTCACAAAAATGTCCAGAATTCAGGACAAGGCCACTTTTTCAGAGTAGAGGTTGTGGAGGTAACCTGGAAAAGTTGGCATGAGGTAGCAGGACTCTAATTCCGGCACTACTGACGAAGTAGGCAGATTCCTAAGAGGACTACATGAAACATCAAATTCTACAAGGTGATAGAAATAAGATACAAGAAATACTGAAATGGGGATGGAGAGATGGCTCAGCAGTTAAGAGCACTGGCTGCTCTTGCAGAAGACCTGGGTTTGGTTTCTAGCACCCACATGGCAGCTAACAACTATCTGTAACTCCAGTTCCAGATGATCTAACATCCTCTTCTAGCTTCCACAAGCACTGTACACAAAAGTGCACTTACATACATACAGGTAAAATACTTATACACAAAAAATAAAAATAAACAAATTTAAAAACAAAGAAACACTGAAATAGCTGGGTAGAACTTATCCAAAAATTAAAATTAGTGCTGAGTTTAGAATAAAAGAAGTAAGTCAACTGGAAAGAAGTAAATGATCCAGAAAAGAGTATTAGGATAAACTTTAGGAAGAACTGGGCCATTAGAAACAGGGCCTATAATAATTTTGCTCTAAGTTACACCTAGAGTCACATTCTCTTTCTGCTCCTACTCCAAACCAAAGCTAAGCAAGTAGTGTGTATAACTTCTCCACTGTGTTTTAAATGTATTTAGGCATTTTAAAAACTAAAAACTGATAGTTTTAAGTCTTTCCCAGATACAGTATTAAAGGTCTAGATCACAAATTAAAGATGAGTAACATGTCAAAAAATAAAATACATTATTCTCTTCCCCTGGGGAGTTGTAGAGAGAGAGGAAGTCAATGATTCTTGGCTGTAAACTCCACTTTCACTGTAAGAGCTGATGTTTGGAGAGGAAGATCGAGATGGGGAGTCCATGGTCAGATCCAGCCTCATTGCAGAATCAGGACTTTCAATATCAGAAGTACTGCCGCTCAGTTTTGCTCTTTTCTTGGCTGCACTATTACGAAGGGACCTAAGAGAGCTTTGCATCTAAGAAAAACAATAAAAACAACTTCATGAGATAAAATGTTTTATACTTATAAAAGCCATTCATAGACATTTGAACTCTATTAATTCTGCCAGGAAGATGCTAATATGAGTACACAGTACAGAAACCAGATTTCCTCACATCTTAACAAAAAACATGTAGGGTATTAATAAAAAACTTAGTAGGTTGTAAGTTTCTATGAAGACAATTCCCAGCCATTGTTTACCATGACATTTGTGGCACGGGGCAAAATGTCAATTAGTTAGTAGTTGAATCACTGATCAGACAGTGGGACTCAAAGATTAAAGTCAGAGAAGCTTATCTCACCTTACTGTTGAATACTTAAAAGTTCTGGAGATGTAAACAAAAAGTGTGCCATATATATAATTTGCAAGAAGTCAATGTAATAGATCAATGTATGTAACTTCTAAATCCAAAGATTAATGAATGTAACTTCTAAGGCCAAGTACTTTTAGAAACACAGAGTAGAATTCACACTTGAAAAGCAGGTTTATGCTGGTCCTTTTAATAAGATGATGCTATACAGCAGTCCCTTCTGCATGAAATAACTACCATCACCACGAGTTCGGCTGAGCCTGATCTTGCTAAACATAGTCATAATTGGGCTTGTTGATGGTTGTGCACATTCATTAAAGGAGTGCCAAGCACGGTCACTGGACCCTCACCTGAGTATCCAGCCACTCTTCCCAGCCAACTACTCC